GTGCCCTTAAAGGGGCAGCGGCCGCGGGGCAGGAGCGCGGCGAAATGGCGGCGTGTTTTGTAACGGTCGCGGCGCTTCCTGCGAGGAGAACGGGTCTGTTGTGCCGCCTCGGAGCGGGCACGCGTTTGGAAACGTTAACTTCCCCGCTGTGTTGCCCACGGCAGGCCTGGCCGAATTCCCTCTCCTGGGAAAGTGCGGAAAGGAGAAAAAATGAAATGAAATGAAATAAAATGTGTGTGGAATTCTGTGTGCAACAGAGGCCCTGGAATGGGGTACTGGGAACAGTGTTAGAGTTTCGTGTCACCTTCCCTCACTCAAATAATCCCTCCACTTAAGAAGAAGAAACCTTAGCTCTTTATTTTAACTGTAGATTCCTCACACTAGAAAGGAAAACGTCTTGGGTTTCAGTAAATAATTTCCAGGGTTCATTGTCACAATTGTTCCACTGATAAATTAAAACACAGAAATCATGGGACAGATATTTAATAATTTTACACAATTGATCTCTAGCATTGGATTAGTGCTGTTATTGCAGAAATTTAATGGCAGGAAAAGCATTGTTTGAAAGTTGGAACCAATATTAAAGAAAAAAAAAAGTAATTCTAAAATAGCACTCAAACAGCTAATGAACTGTAGCAACTGGGGAGAGTCAGCAGCACAAAGGAGCAGACTGGGCCAGCTCTAGGAAACGCTCAGTGGCTGGTCTAATTTTTGCTCCCACCTTTCTTTCCTTGGCCATCCAAACCAGTCCTTCTAACATCAAAGAGTTAACTCTTCTTACTTTCCATTACCTTTATTTTGGGGTGACTGCATTCTTCATGATCAAGTTATACTTAATTCTCATTCTCCCATGAAAGACCAGAACGGACTCTGAAAGAGGGATTTATCTGTAGATAGTCATGTTTGATGGGTTTTGTTCTTGCTGCTGATTCAGAGCTGACAAGTATTCTTTTAGACTTTTCTTGTTTATTGTTAATCTCCATTTGTTAAAAGCCATTTCTCCCCTACTGTCCCAGAGAAGCTTGGCGTCAGATATTGCTCCACATGATACAGAAGGTTTTTCTTGCATACGTGGCCATGGGGTGTGCAGAGTTTGTGCCTCTGTGCTAGTGCCTCTCATGTTAACGCAGTTATAAAGGCTGTGAGCCCAGGATTAAATTATATTTTACATAGTGTAGTAAAAAGATTTGCTTTCTTCTGGAGCAACTGTCAAAGCCTTGAAACAGACCAGAGTGCTGGAAGTATTTTTGATTTTCATTCATTGCTGTATGTTGAAGCAAAATACATTTAAACTACCGTGAATCTGTGGGATTTTTACTGCCCCTCTCCAAAGACATAGACCCTCCGTGATCACTGAGGGATTTTTGCTGACTGGTGCCTCACCTCCTGCCGCACGATACTAGACTTCAGCGCTGTGGCACAATCTGTGGAGTCATCTTGCTGTCGGGTGTTCCTGCCCTGCAGAGAGCTGCAAAAAGAGTTTTTGCTGAATCACCCTGGCTTGATTTAAACATCCAGGCTAGCACACAGGAGCACCTGGAAGGGATTATGGCAGTGCTGCTGAACAGATACACGAGACACACCTGGTTTTAGAGAGCAAGCGTGGGCAGAGATATGTAACAGCATTAAAACAGCTGTGTGTGTTCTGCCCTTGGGTGGGCATTCATGGAAACCGGATATTCATAACTCATTTGGAGAGATAAGATTTTGTTTGTCCATTACTTTTTTTTTTTCTTTCTTTTTTTTTTTTTTTCTTTTTGGACAAGAAGTGCTTTGATCATTGGTAAGTGGAGTCTGGGTACTAAATCAGTAATGTACTCCTTAATTAATTTGTTCTATGTTAGGAGATGGATTAAGTAATATGCATGCGCCCTATGAAATCACCACAAGGAATAAAAGTTCCCCTACACATTTATGTGGCAGAAACTGTGTAATTAAAGAAGAAGCTAAAGTTGTTCCAAAAAGCACCACCACCCTAAAATGTTTAAGCATAACTTAAAATGTAGAGAAAGAAGCTCTGCTTCTGTATGTGGCATAGATTTGCTGGTTGGCACAGATGTGGGTTACCAGAAAGCTGGAAAGTGAATAAAACATTAGGGAAAAAAAAAAACTCAAAAAGAATATCTTAAATATAATTTGGGTCTTTTGTAGTTTAAATGTCTTTGTAAGGAACGAGGACTGGTGGCAATAAGGCACACAATTCACAGGTTTTTCTACCAGATCTGAACAAACTCAGTGATGGAGCACTGTGTTTGGAACTTTGATGGAGGAACTGCTTTTCATAGTGCAGCAGTATTCACAGGTCTCCGAAAGCTGAAAACATGCAAGCAAATCACAGAAATAAAATTTGCTTCTGCCAAGTTTTGCCTTCAGCACTTCGCAGAAAGAATGCAATTAAAACCAGAAACACCACACACTTTCACCTTGCCTTACTGCCTCTGAATAGATTCTTTGATAGATAGTCTTTCTTCGCATGTTAACTTCCATCCAGTATTTGTCCCCTCAAGGTTACAAGCAAGGGAAACCCTTAAGCAAGGTAAGCCTTGACAGGCTTATTAAGTGAGCCAAGTACTTCCTCCTGACAAAATCCACATTTGCACAATCCTCAGAGGTGTATCACAGTGCATTTTTTAGATTACTTTGTTCCTCTACACGATGCTGTTAAGAAACAGTTTTGAGGAGCATGGGAGAGATCTTTGTGGTATAACATTTCAAATTATCTTGACAATACACAGTTCCGCACTACTGCTGTCTGACTTCTATCTGAGCGATATTAAATATGGCAGCAAAATTTGGTTACTGTAGCAACAGTTTTTACATTTTATCGTGTAGTTTAAAAGTCCAAAGAGAGATTTGGCTATCTGGACTTCAGAGAAGGAGAGAGAACACACAGAGCTCTGTTACTTATAGTTGGTGATATGGGAAAAAAAAAAAAGGTGTCAAATAAAGCTGTGAACTGTTACATTCAGCTTATTCCAGTGTAAGTATCCAATCACGCAATATGGAGATAGTGGTAAGTATTACTAAATATATATTGGAAAGAAAGGTACTGCATGCTTCTAATGCATGGCTGTGAGAAATTTTAAAATTTTACTCTTACAAAATGACTCATGGAAAAGCCGTAATTGTTCCCACTTCCAGTTAACTAAGTAACATTATTAATAACCTCAGAATAATGTCAAAGAATGTTGAGGTTTCAGTGCTCTAGGCAAACATTAGTATATCTCCCCAACCTCACCCTCATCAAAGAATTCAGTAATTGTAAAATACACTTAAAATCTGGATAAAGCAGACAGTGGTTTTGGGGGAGGGGAAGAAGAGAGATTATTTAAGATACCAGCTTTGCAACTTCCCCTTATTTTGAACTGTTTTTTATCATAAGATCATTTGCTACAAACATTGATTAGTTTTAGAGGTTAAGGCAAGACATCTTTCTAGAAGTGACTTATGAGTCTGGAGAGGCCCCTGGAGTGTTGGGACATATTAGTTTTTATCTGCATGATCATAAAATATACAGAGATCAGATTATTTGACACATGACTTAGAGTCTTGCCGTAGAGCTGAACACTCAAGATCACTTGTTAATGCCCAGCTGAACGGCAAAATTCCCCGTAAAGTAACATTTGCTTGTCTCAAAATATGTCAGCTTGAAAAAGACTGTTTATTGTCTCAAAAAATGTGGTGGGTATGTCAATTGTTAGTGAGAAAAATTACAGTGATCATGAAAAGAATCTTAGAGATAACCAGATTTCCTGTGCGGGAAAACAGAACACTTCACTACCTACAGCCCCAAAGAAGCTGTGTGTGTGTTCCAGAAAATGTTAAAGAAAAAAAAAAATCCAGGACTGCATTGCTACTGGAATTGATTTTCTGAGTGTTAAGAAAATAACATATTTCACATGTGATTCCTTTAGTGTGAATATGTATATATACACATATTAACTATCTAATCAAAACTTTCAGAATACAGAGGAGCCTGTGCTTTCCCTTTTCTTTGCTGAGACAGTGGACCAAGACAGTGAATGCAGACTGTTGCTGTTGCATTCTGTTTTTCCAGCTGCCAAGTCCCTCTCACTAAGCCAGTGCAGTGGAACTCACTAAAGTGACACCGCGATGGATTGCCAGGAAGGCAGTATTGTGCTGTGCATTTCAATGATTGCATAGATCAATTGATGCACTTACTTCCAGAAAGCTGGCTTAAACAGCGTGTGACTAAACCTGTTTGCAACAATCTTTTCCTGCTAAAAAGCTTTCCTTAGCCAAGGCACCGTGCATGGTATTTTCTGCTAACCTCTGGCTCCTGAGAGAATCAAAATTACTGATCTGAAGTAGTTTCGGAGCTTGTGTGTTGATACAAGCTCCATGAGATGATCTATTTTTCTGATTCTTTGCCAAGGTCGTCGTTTTTCAATTCACTTGCTGCTTTTGGAAAAAAGAACTCCATATATGGGCAAAAGTCTCACTTTAGCGAGAATGAAGTAATTTTCTGTTTGTCTATGTATTAAGGTGAAGCATTTTAGCAACCTCTTTTATTGTTTGTGTGCACTTAAATTTTTAAATAGGAAATGACTGTGACTTTTGACTCGCAGGTGCTGAAAGAAGCAGACATGCTCCCTGCTCGTAATGCTGACTTCCCCGGACAACTCGGACATGTACGAAGAGAAATTCATAAATGAAAGTGTGTTCAAGGTTGTGAGGGCTTTATTGCTGGAAAAGTCAAGTGCGAAACTTTCTTGAACGAGGCAGCTTCAAAAAGGAAGCAACGGAATGTCAAAACACTAAAAAGCAAGGAAGAATAGGTAGCAACGTAGAGGAATGGAGATCACACAACGCTGAAAACTGGACTGAAAGAGGATTTCAAAATTTCTGATCCTTTCAAAATCTATAAAGATAATTCTATTGAACTCAAGAAACTAGATATTGTGCAACAAATGTGAAAATTGCTACAGTACACTTTGTACTGTAGCAGAACAGAAAGATGACTTAGTGGCATTGATGTGTCATCTTTGCTTAAAACAATCAAACTGCGAGTCAATGAAAACAATGAAAGCAAAGCCCAAGCTAAATAGTATTGTAGGCAGAATATTACCTTAATAGTAAAGTAAATATGACAAGGACTTTAGTCTGAGCTTGGATAACATGACTACTAGCTTCAATACAGATACTGAAGAAGGAAGAAGTAACTATGTGGTTATAGAAAGCTTACAGAAGCAAAGATCAGAGGATGAGCTGTCGAGACTGCAAGTTTGAAATGTTCCTATGATATGTAAGGAAAGGAATCCCAGAAACAAAAGGAAGCAGTTGGGAAGGGGAAAAAGAAAAACAGGACTTGTTTTTTGGATTCCTCTACTTTGATGTAGTAAATAAGTCATAGGCTGGGTGATGTTCCGATTGGAACACAGCTGGAGGAGAAAAAAAACACACCACAAGACAGCATCAGAGAAATGCAGTTGTGAGGAAACTGGAATCCAGAAGACCAGTGGATTATATGCTAACCAGGTTCAGCTGCAGTTTTGGTAAGCAGGTACTAACTCAGTTCACTAAAAAGGAATTGCTTTAAAGAAATTACTACCACTAATTCAAGTTAAGTAGTAATTTCAAAAGTAGTTCATGTTCAGAGAGGGTGTTAACCTTTGAGGCTCATGCTGAGGATAGAGAAGATTCCTGTTTAGGATTCTTAGTGTTTGCAGAATTAGCTCTGGAATTTAGCTGGGACAGCAGAGAATCCACCTGGCTGAGAAGCAGCATCTTGTGACTAGATCTGCCTAGGCACACTCTGTACCTTCATGGATGTCCTGAGTGCACACACATTTTGGAAAAACAAGAGAGGATCTGCACTTTAGAAGAAATTAAAGGTTAGACATGAAAAAAATAGAGAGCAGTGTAGACAGCAATACACTACCTATAACAGAGAATGTTAACAAGCAATGAGCTGATAGTACTGAAGGAGTTAGCATGCAGAATGGTGTACAAATGCAACCAATCCTCTTATGTTCAGAGACCAAAAGGATGGAGAAGTTGTCCCTTAGTTGTGGCTGACTTTTTAACTACCACTGAATTGTTTAAACAAGTGATTGTAAAATTAGAAATCAAAAGGATACACCAAATATTGAATGTAAAAATTAATATTTTTGATCACCTTAGTAATGGCAAGTTAGAATAAAAGTTCTGTAAAATACATTTTAGAAGGATGGTTGTGAAATAAGCTCTTTTCCTTCTATCCAAAGGTCATATGCACTTAGGCTTTACTGCAGATTTTATATTCGGTGTGCAAGAATCATGGGTTTTCCTGACCTCACCATTACGTGTTTTCAAAAGCAAAATCTAGGAAACTAGACAAAAATTATTAGGCTTTTGTGCTACTCCAAATCTGTACATTAAGATACTTAAGGAGGTATATATTGAAAGCAAAAATATTTATAATTCTTAATTAGGGAAAGGAACATAGCCTAATGGTTACAGCATGAACCTAAAAGTTGCAAAAACAGAGGTATCACAGTTCTTATAATGACTCACCATTTGACCTTTTGTGAGTCATCTTGAGGCTTAAGAATAAGCGATGAATGTCATTTTGTGTGTCAGGTATTTAGTTGTTATGCAGCTGTAAAGTGGGTGAGATATTTTGTATGATTTCATAACTGAAAGATAATAGGCACTGCCAGTGAAATTTGTTATTAAGCAACACAGAGCTGTCCTTGGTTAAACTGTCATGTCAAAATTGTCCTTGAATGAGTGACATATGGTCATATTTCCTAGTTGCAAGCCAATCTACAAGCTGTATCTCAATTAGCAACTTTCTCTTGCTCCCTCTTAGGTCTGAACAGATAATTGGGTACTGTCCTCTGTCCTTGGGGAGTGCTTTTGTTCCCGGAGGTGATAGCTCTAAAAACATATCCTCTGCCCACAACTCTTCATCTCTTTCCTGCCTGTTTGTTCAACGCAGGTACATCGTCCTTGTAGTTTACCTACTTACCAACTGCAAGTAGAGGAAGATGATGATGATGATCTGTCTGTCCCGTTTTGCAAATAACTCTGGACTTCTACAAGTCTAGCCCTATGGAAAGGACTGTTTGCTTTTACTGTGTAGCACGTCCTGGGTATACTCACAAGAGTTTTTAATAACAGCAACTAGTATCATAGTGGAACTACTCATTTTTCCTGGTTACATAACAATATTAAAATCATCTGGAAAATACTGTTCTTACTATGGGACAAATCATTCAACTTCCATTTAAGAGTTTCATTCACTTCCATTTAAGCTTTGCTTACTGCAACATATTCCAGAGCACAAGCTACACTGGGTTTTAGATAGATAGAGATCGGTATGCAGGACAAATTAACTGAAGCCTGGATAGCTACAATCAACAGGAAACCTTGGGTGGATTTGCTGACTGAGCAGCATCTTCCCAAATAGAACTGGCAACCATTCAGTCTGCCACTGTGGTTGCAAAGAAATTTATTAGAGGTTGGCTTTTTTAAGAATGGATTTTTATTGACTTTCCAGATGACATTATTAATCCATGTAAACAGGATTTCTACTTTGCACATAATAGAAACTGTAAACAGATAGATGAGCATCAGCATATGCTCATTTTTACAATGGTGATCCAGCACTTGCCTTTTTTAAAAAGTCCTGCTGTTGTCAATTTGCACTTCCATTCTGAACCATTTGTAGATACTCCTTGTATAACTTTTCTTGGGTTTCATAAAGTTTCTTCAGCTTCTTAATTTGACCTTTGCTGAGTTCTTTGCCTTCTGTATCATGGGTAGGAAATCCCTGGAAAGATTTAAAAAAAAAAATTAGATAAATGTGCTTCCAGATACTTTGACTGCTTTTGTTCCTCATGAAATGGAGTTCTTCTGGGTGAATCATATTTTAACGAGATAGGGAAATAATGTCATGTCCCACTTCATAGCAAACTATCAAGGTGGGATGCATCTTTGCTAATTCTAGCCATCTAGAAGTTAAACCACTACGTTTGACTACTTGTCTATGTTCCCTCCCTCGTTAATGAAGGGACAAAACATGCATTTATTTCTGTCCTGAGGAGAGGAATTTTGCACAACTAACTCCTAGACAGTTATAGTTAAGTGGGGTTCTGACTAATACTTAACTAACTTAACATGCTAAAAAGACCACTTTTAATCATACTAGCATTAAATCCAAGACTTTAAGTAAAAGCAGTAAGAGGCTTGTTGAATATGTACAACTGTGGAAGGAACCCCCCTCCCCAAATAAAAAAGATCTCGAATTCTTACATTTTCATCAAACATGGAATACTTGTCATGTTCCGATTTAAACATTTCGTGTGGTGGAATCTTCATTTTCGCCAGTTTTGCAGCCTGCAATATAAAACATGCATTCACTGCATTAGCATCAGAGTGAATTATTCACAGCCTGTCTTTATATAAACTATCCCTCAAGCATGTGCAAAGGGAAAGGTAGATAATAATCTGCAGATCAAGGAGCATCTGAGTCACAATTGCTTATTATGGGAAAAGAAATGTTCAGTGAGGAACAATTCAATAATTCTTGGATGTGTCTGCCCAAGAAAGTACAAATAAATTGATGCTTTATATTTGCAGAAAACCACTTAAACCATAGTATTGCAGGAACTCAAAATAATCATCTCATACTCTCCAAAAACTGCACTTATATTTTGCTAAACTTGCTTCCTTAGCTTTCTGGTTGTAAACAGAAAGTGAATTAGTTGCTATGAGCAAGGAATATTGAGCAATGAGCTCACTGCAGAGGAAACTATCAACATTGTCCTGTTGATGAGAATAGGGTTCTATGAAGGTCACAGCAGGATAAGGATGCAATTAATTGCACTGAAAACTAACCAAACTTTTACTTACTTGTGAACATCTCAGAACTCTTTCCAAGTAATCTATGCCTAATGCAAATAAATCACCTTTTTGAAAAGTTTAACTGCAATCCATGGAGGATAAGTGCTATTTATTTACTTTTCTTTCTAAACATACTCTCTCAAGGTTTACATCCTGTTTACCCAGACACTTATTTCCTGTGTTGTTAGAATTATTGACATGGCAAACAATCTTTTCCCTTTATGAGTTCATTTGCTCTAGACGGCTACACCTCACTCAAAGCCCAAAACCTTTAAGGTATCACAATGTTCTAACTATGGAGCTGAAATGTGTTTTTATAAAGCGCTATATTCCAGAGTTTAAGGGAAGAGGTGGACTCTTAAAAAGATTTGTGTTCCTATTTACCTAAGACACCAGACAGCAAATAAAGTAATTGACAGAAGTAAAATTCTTTTTAAAATGAATATTAGAGACTGCTTTGGAAATTTAAAAAAGAGTACTTTGTGTCTTGGTCTCAAAGATGGCTGCTTTTTAATAGGTGCCATCAGGGATGAAATCTAAATTGCAGGCAAAAATTAAAAAATAGAAGAAGAAGGTCCAACTGAGGCTAGTACTTACCTCCTGCTCTTGTTTTTTCCTAGCTGCTTCTTCTTTCTTCCTTTTTTTCTCTTCTTCAATCTAAGAAAGGTAGTAAGATTAAATAAGTACAAGGTAGCTACTTTATTTGGTTGTCCTTATAAATCAAGTCAATAGCTCCTCTGGTATCCCCTGGATATCATCAGCTATGGACAGAACTGGTGGCATGACCTAGAGCAAAAATACTAAGCCTTATAATTAAGATTATCTGATATTTCACATTGTAAGATTTTATTTGCTTTTATTCACAGCTAAACCAATTTTAATGGTCTCCAATGCATTTTGCATCCTAAAAATACAGCCACGAAAAAATATATGCAAAAGAAAGTCCTGCAATTTCACCAGGAAAATGTTTTGAAAAAATTCAAACAAACAAACAAACAGACTAATTTTCCCTGCTATTTAAAGGCCTTTCCACAAGATCATGAAGAAACTGGAGTTTCATAAAAAGCAGCTGTATCCCTTGATGTTCCTAAGGAAACAACTATCCAAATCTAGCTAAGCTATAAGCCTCTAAAAATCCTATCCCGTACTTTTTAGGAGAGATGTGTTAGCTCTTCAAGATTTCTGTTAGTGTGCAGCCCTTGTATATATGAATTAAGGTTCATAATTATTAATTACATAGCAACATGAGAATTCTTGACCTTGTATCCAGAATATCTCACTTATCAATACTACATTAGCTACAATTTAGCCATGCCATTTTGTTCTCAACGTCAGAATAAATATAGTCTAGTTTTATGGTAAATATCAGCCTCCTTTGAAGAGGTCTGCACCGATCTCTCTTTGGAATCTGTCTTCCAGAGAGGTAAGGCAGTATATACGCAATACTCAAAATGCCCTCACTACATGACAGATTTTAAAACAACAAACAAACACTTAGAAGTATTCATTAAATCCCTTGGAAAATTTTCAAGCAACTATTGTTCCAAAAAATCCTCTTCCTGAATGCTACTCAAGTTGCAATCTTGTTTCTGATATTTTACACACTGCTAAAGAGTTAAGTTTGTTTTTTTAAAAACAATTCATTGATGATTTGTAAAGCCTCTGTAGCTTACATTCTACTTTACATGTGAAAAATGTTAAATGCTTAAAACAGTTACCTTTTTCTTTTCTTCTCTTTCTTTCAATAATGTGTCCTTATCCACTAACTTGACCACAGTTGGCAGTCCTGAAGGAGCAAAAAAAGATAAATGTGTTTTCTAGTATCTGAATAATGAAAGATAAATTTATATACCATAAGACAACTTTTCTTCTGCAAATGCAACTGAATGATTACTTAAAACTGGCTAACCAATTATATACTACCACACAAAAAGACTTGAACGTACCTTTTTACTGTCAATATTTTCCAATATAAATTTATACAGTACAGATTTATATAGCAGAAACAAGATATGCTAAAATTTTTGCAGTCCTTAACTTTTTGGATTATTCCAGATTAGTCTTTGACACGTTGTTTTCCCATAGCTTAAGTAAATAACAAGATGGCAAAAACAACTACCTACAAAGTTATTAGCCCTATAATTGTGTACCTTCATGATCTTCAAATCGAACACCCAGTTCAGGAAGGATGTCGTCTCGAAGAGCGCCAATCAACTGCAGCACTTCAGTTACTAAAGTGCAGGGAAAAAAAAATGTGGAGAAGTAAGATTTCATGAAATTACACTCCTATTCTGCTACATTTTTAAATGCAGTTCAGAAATAGGCAATACCTTAAATTGATCAAAGGCACTTGTTTTGTTTCAAAGTGACCAATATTTTAAGTAAGTTTTGCCATCTTTCACCTACAGAGAGAAGCAGCGTGTTTCTTTGCTCAGAATTCATAAATTTCTTCCAAGATAATCTCATTGCTCTTGAAAACCGTTATAAGAGTTCAGTTCAGTAACATTCAGGCAGTAACAGCTACTAATCCAGACTCTTTTATGCTGCGCATACCAGTAAATACAAGTACCTTTCCCAGGTCTCCATTTTCTCCTAGACCCTTGAGAGCATTTAGCAGCAGACAGGGCACTGATTACCCAACCACCACGAAAAGGAAAGGATGCCCTATCACACTGTGGAGCTCTGCTCTTTGCTAGAGTTAGCAGTGACTCTACTGTGTGCATGAAAGCATTGCATTTTATAGGAGCAGTTCTGTCTGTCAT